CAGCTGAAGGTCTGGATCCTCACATCCTCCATGAGTCTAGCTGAAGACCTAGAGCCCATAACAGTGCCTCCCACAAGTCCAGCTGGAGGCCTAGAGCCCATGCCTATGTGTATGCAGGCCCACTTTATGGATCCGCACTGGGAAGGCCCAAAGGTTAGTGGTAGAAGGTCTATGCCAGCGGGATGAAGGATCTGATCTGTACTAGCAGGCTGAGGAATCTGAACTGGAGCCACGAAACAGTGTTCAAGATGAGGGCCAGAACTCCTCCAAAATGAACTGTAGCCATTCTCAGTAACAATGAAGGTCCCAGTTTGTCCTCCAATAAGAACAGCCAAGTTCATCAGGAAAGCCAGCAAGCCAAGGTCACCCAGTAGAACAGCCCAGGAGAACCAGTGACTTCCAGCAGCTTCAACAGCTTTTCCAAACAGCATGACTAACAACTTCTCAACAGCTTTTCCAGTTCTGCCTCCTAGGCAGCTAGCAACAGTCTTCAACTGGTCCTTCCACACCCCGACCATGTTAGTTCAATTCAGGTGGGTGTAACAGATTGATCACCAGTTAGAAACCCACTACAAGAGTAATTATCCCAATTTTATAGATGAGGGAACAGAGCCTCAAAGAGAACGTGGTGCTTATCTGGTCCAGAGTGGTATAGTTAAGATACAAAGTGACAGCATCAAGATTTGAATCTAAGTCTTTCTGGTCCTGAAGAGTATGTCCTTACCAGAGGGAAAGATGGTTATGTCCTACCAGAGAGAAAAATGGTGTCTACATTGTTTCCTTGTAGCCTTAGTATAGGGAAACCACGCTTGCCTATGGGAAATGGTATCACCACAAATCAGCCCTTTATATAGCTTAATAATATGCTGATCTCATAGCTACCTGAGTTTTGTCTTGTTTTGTTTTGCTCATTTGGCAATGTGTAGAGCATAAATTTTTAAGCAATCTCTATGTAGATCTTTTGAACTCTTCTTCCTACCTCACACCTCCTGCCCTTTCTTCCTGCTGATGACAATCAGTGTTTCAGCATTGAAGGTACCAGCACTGTCCTAGGAGGATCTTGAAAAGCTTCTATAATCGGCTCTGGCATTTATTCAATTTACTGAGTATGTCAGTCTGTTTTATGCTGCTATATCAGAATAGCTGAGCCTGGGAAATTTATAAAGGATAAAGACTTCTTTCTCTTACAGTTCTGGAGACTGAGGTCAAAGCTGAGGGGCCCACATCCGGCCAAGGCAGAAGGTGGGGCACAGAGACAGTTGGGGAGAGGAGAGAGACTGAGACACAGAGCGAGGGTCGAGGGGAGGGTTGAACACCTCCTTTGCAGGAAGCCACTCCCACCCCCGTGATCATGGCCTTGGTCCATTTGCAAGGGCAGAATCCTCAGATCAGATCTCTGAACAGTCGTACCTCTCAACAGAATTGACTGGTCATTGTTTCCAGCTTTGGGAAACACCTTCAAACCATAATACTGAGATTGTGGGTTAGGGAAACATGTAGCTTTTCATATACAGCTTTTGAGATTTGTTGTATTTCTGGTGTTAATAAATGCTATCTTTAAAAAATTACTTTAAAACAAATTATGATGCTGTGGAAAAAATCAGAATCTTCATACATTACTAGTAGAAATATAAAATTGGAGCAGGATGTGGTGGCACAAACCGTAGCCTCAACATTTGGGAAGCTGAGGTAGGGATCACCATGAGTTCAAGGCCAGCCTGAACTACATAGAAAAACCAAAAAGGAAATATAAAATTGTGCATTTGCCTTGGAATACAGACTGTCAGTTGTCAGAAGAGTAAACATAATTATCATATGACCAATTCCATTCATATTCCACTTCATGAGAAATGAGAAATGTCGACACAGATCACTATATAGGGCAGGCCAGATAGCTCGGCAGACGCAGGGACTGGGGTTTGATCCCTGGCATGTTGTGCTAGCCCCACTCCTGGGGTGTGCTAAGACAGGTGATTGAGACTAGGCATGGAGGTGTGCGCCTGTAATGCCAGTGCTTGGGAGGCTGAAAACAGGAGGATCACTATGTGTCTGATCTATATAGTGAAACCCTATAGATCCTGTACTAAATGTACTAAAAAAAGATTGTATGTTACTGTTATTCATAATAGCCCAAAAGTAGGAAGAAACAAAATATTGCCTGAACAAATAGTTAAATCAAACCTGGCACATTATATAAAGAGTTGAACTATTGATTTATATTACAATATGGATGAGCCTTGGAAATGTAGTAAGTGAAAGAATTCAAGCCCCAAAGGCCACATATTGTATGCTTTCTATTTATATGTAATGTCCAGAATGTGCAAATCTATAGGTATCAAAAGTACAAGAGCTGACGAGATAGCTCAGTGGACTAAGCACCTGCTTAGGCAAGCGCAGGGACCAGGGTTCGATCCCTGGCACCATATGCCATGATGCCTGTAATCTCAGGACTGGGGAGGCTGAAAGCAGGAGAATCGCTATGACTCTGAGCTGTGAGACCTTATACAAAATACATTAAAAATGGGGCCAGGGAGATGGCTCAGTGGAATAAGCACTTGCCTGGCAAGCGCAGGGACCTGAGTTCAATCCCCGGTTCCACCAAAAAAAAAACCTTTAATTAATTTTTTTAAAAAAAATAAGTAGACCTGCTGTGCTGGCCCTGCCCCCAGGGCACACTGAGATGGCAATTGAGACTGGGTGGTGGCACGCACCTGTAATCCCAGTTCTTGGGAGGCTGTAAACAGGCAGATCACTGTGAATCTGATCTAGTAGTGAGACCCTGAACACCCTGTAGACCCTTCCCTAAAATACAAAAATAAGAAAAATAAAGTACAGCTGGGTGTGGTGGCACATGCCTATAATTCCAGCACTCTGGAGGCTGAGGCGGGAGGATCAAGAACTCCAGGTCAGCCTAGGCTTTGTAGGGAGCCCCTGAAAGAGTGTAGTGGTTGCTAGAGATGAGGGGTTGGGATGTGCATGATAATGGAGAAGAGGTTTCTTTTTGAGAAGATGAACATTTTGGACTTAGACAATAGTGATCATTACATGATCTTGTAAATATAATCACAGTAGCTGAGTTATATTACTATAACAATAAACTATAAATTCAGAACCACAGTTTTTATGGCGTTCTTGTGCGTATGAAGAATGGGCAGGTGGGACCTGGACTTGTGGAGATGCAGGGAGAAGTTGAGGCTGAAGCAAAAATGAGGCACAGCCAATATCCAAGACTAGGGCAGTGTTAGTGGGAAGGTCAGCAGTTCAAGTTGTCAGTGGAGCAAGGTGAGCACCGGAAGCTGTCAGGATGGGCTTTCAGCCTGGGCTGGCCGGAGCCCGAGCAGTGCTGGCCCCCAGTGATGGCTTGGTGACAGCCTCCTTGGATTTAAAAAGTATGATTTTTTGTTTTGTTTTGTTTTAACCAGGAATTGAACTCAAGACCTTGTGCTTGCCATGATGCTGAGCTATATATCTAGTCCTTCCTGTATCATGCTTTTTGATGGTTATTATTTATTTTCTTTTATTTCATCATGATTTATATATAATTCTATACATCCATGTATTCAATGTAACTTGTTACTTCAGTTACTCCTCAGTACAATGCTATGAGAATCAGTATTTTTATCTCCATATTTTTTTAGACAAAGAAATTAAGACACAGAGGTTGTTACTTAGCCCACCAATAAGGGATAGAGTCTGGATTCAACTCCAAAGCCAAAGCCCTTAAATAACTCTGCGCTTTTCTCTTCTCTCTGTTCTAGTCTCACCTTTCAAATCACCATGGCCTCTGCTCGTGCAAACAGGAAAATGAAGCTATGAAACCAGTAGATCTTGACATTTTCAGCTAAGCCATTAGACACTCTTTAATTTCATGGTTTCCAGGGCTTATTTCAAACCCGTCACCACCTATTCACGTAGACTAGCTGTCACAAAGGCAAGATTCTCTTACTAAGAAAGCAATTGTGAGATACCTTGGGGTAAGGAGTCAGTTGCTCAAATGTCTACTTTATAAGCTATTAAGGAGTCATGAGTGCCTTCCCTGCAGAACAGCTATTTAAATTTTGCCCTGCAGCCACCTTTCTTAGTAAAGTCAGAACTTGAAGGCAAGTGAAAGACTGGCTAGCAAGAGGGTACATAAGTAAAAATGGCCTCTTGAAATAGAGCAGCCTGTCCTCTCGCCCTCTGGCCCATCCAGTTCACTGGAACTACACTGAGGTAACAGCTGGAGGGGTGCCTTGTTCTTCTTTTGATTTCTCATGCTTAGAAACAAGCATCTTATATTACTCTTCATTGCAAATACAAATTAAAATTCCTAATCTCACCAGGAATGATTAAGTTGACCCACTGAAGTTGCTCACATACTTAATAAGCCCAATTATATTTTTTATTAACCCTGACATAGTTCCTTTTGTTGCTGAATCATATGTTTAACATTTTTAACATAATGAAGCATCAATTTCCTCCCCTCTAGTCTTGTCAGATCTTGAGCAGTGGTGGGAAAGTACACGTATATGGCATCTGTTCAGTTTGACAACTCGTTTTTAGATTTTTGCATTAGACTTTGACACTTCTTTTGCCTCCTGACCTTGTAGTATCTGCAGTTCCTGAGGAGGTAGGTAGTTTGGGAATCAAGCCTCAGAGAAAGGATGGTTTGAGCTACCAAAGACCTAATTGTGTCCATCTCTCCGTCCACCTGCCAGGGCATTGTTGCTAGGGTTTCCTTCCTTCCTTCTTTCCTTCCCTCCTTCTCTCCTGCCCTCCCTCCCTCTTTTTTCTCTCCCCTCTTCTTCTCTCCCCCATTTCCTTTCTTCATCTCCTTTCCTCTTTTCCTCTTACTTATTTATTGCCAATACTAGGTATTGAATGTAGAGCCCAGTTCATTCTAGGCAAGCTCTCTTTCGTTGAGCCATCCTCTTCTGACCCATGACCAGCCCTGAGAAGGCTTTTTGTATCCAGCTTTTGTTTTTCCTTATTAATAATCTGAGAGTGTATCGCCTTTGTCTGTGTTTTTCTAAGGTTGACACTGTGCTTTCAGAGGCTAACACAGAAGGGTAAAGTAAGTTTATAACACCCAGAGAAAAGATTGTCAAATTCTTTTTTGGGGGCAGAACCGGGGATTGAACTCAGGCCCTTGCACTTGCCAGGGAAGCACTTATTCCACTGAGCCATCTCTCTGGCCCAAGATTGTCAAATTTTTCTTTGGGTCCTCAGCTGTGTCTGGATACACAGCTGAGCCAGGAAAAATATTGTACATTACTACTACTACTACTACTACTACTACTACTACTACTGGTTTTTCAAGACAGGGTGGCCTTGAACTTACAGTGATCTTGTCTCAGCCTCCCCAATGCTGAGATTGCAGCACCATGACAGCTGGCAAAAATATTTTTTGACCATGTTTTCCTTAATAGCGTAAAATATGTAGGCATTCATTTAACAAGTATTTATTGTTATATTTGAGGTAGGTGTACTGCTAAGAAAGATTGGCATGCCCTGCCTTCGTAGAGTTTACAGTTGGAAGATGCGAGATTAATCAAACAATCACACAAACAAATATCAAATGTGCCCTTGCCAGGTCCTTCTAGAGAAGGCACAGGGTGCTGCAGAGCTTGCTTCAGGGAGATTTCATCTGACAGAGAAGGAAAAGAAGAAGCGACCTGAAGTGACTCCATCAGCTGGAAGCTGGGTTGTCAGTAGGAGTTCACTTGTAAAGGGGGAGGGAAGAGTACTGCAGAGTGCAGGAAGAGCAACACAGCAGGCCTGCGTGGACAGCAGGGGCTGCATGAATGCCTTGTTCTCCAGAACCCTCAGGATCAGCAAGGAAGGGGTGGGCTGAGCTGACTCCTAGCACCATGCAGCCCCACCAACCAGATGGCTCTGCTTTTCTCTTTCACTAAGCTCTCTCTCCAGCTTTCATGTAAAAAACAATGTTCTGCTGCTTTAAAAAAAAAAAAAAAAGGATTTGAAAAATCACTTCTTAAGGCCATCTATGTGCCCTAGGGAGGACATTTTCTACCACATGTCATGTGTCATGTCAAACACACCCAAATAACCTCCTTGCCATTGACAGAGAAAACTGCAGTCTTTCTTTGTGCCTGTTTTCATAAAATGCAATGAGAATATTTGGATGTCTGTACAAATCTTTGAACTCAGTTGTCCAATACACATCCATGAGCCATTATGAGATATTCTAATTACAGACAAAAAAGGTAAAACACATAGAGCTATTTTAGGCCAATAGTTTTCCAGTGCTTTTTTTATTTTTTTAAGTAATAGAATCTATTTCAAATGAGGTCTAACTAAATGAATAAAAAATTCAGGTGATTCTTTTCTCTTCTTTGTGCCTTTTCACTTAAGGTTTTTCACATTTTCTAGTATGAATGTGCATTGCTTTTATGATCCAGAGAAAATGTTTTTTAAATTACATGGCTGTTTAGGGAAACTGAATTGTTTTATGATAACAAGGTTCAGGGACTAGTACAGATTGAAACAGATGGCTGCCTCTGTTGTAGTCCCCCCTGGTGACCTTTTCACAACTAGGGATTACTAAAGTACAGAATGACCATGGCCTTTTTACCATGAAATTATATGATGACAGCAGAAACCTTACTGACAAACAGATGTTTTTCCCAAGTGGCGCTTTTCTTAATGAAATGGTTGCTTAGAAACCAGACCATAATAATAACTTTTCTATATTTAGTCTATAAAGTGATTCAGTTTGTGAAGTTATTAAGTCAGAGCATACTAATTAGATAGAACTGAATATATCCATTATTTCCTGTTTTGCAGTTCAGCAACCAAATGGTTAATTCGGCAGCCACATTTCATGCAGCATGTGTCTGTCCAGATGCTGTAGCTGTCAGGAGACTAACGAAGAGAGTGACAGCTCCTAGAGCAATCCTGTTCCTCTGTTAGCCGGCTCTGAGTGGCACAGTGGGCTTGCTCTCTCGCCAGCATGTGTTAAGGGCTGCTACATGTAACACCTATTAGGTTGCTGAGAGGATCAGCTGGGTCAGTGGTCAGGTGTTGTATGTAAAAAAGTGGAAAGAAATTCAATTCACATGAAGCTCAGTGAGACAACAGACAAATGTAGGCGTGAAGATGCTTGTTTAGAACAGCAGAATGTTTATATGGAAAATCTTATATGCTTTTGCTTTATGGCAGAAGAGCCTTAGTGTGCATCATATATGTTAGGAGAATTAAAATATTTAATCTTCAATTGAGACTATACAAAATCTAGAAGAAAAGAGATTTCAGTCTTACATTTGCAGTAAAGATGAGACAGCGCAATTGAAAACTATCATTCAGGGTAACATGTTTCAAATACCGGAAAAGCAATAATGAACAAACGAGAAAGCAGGGAATTACCAAGCCAGTGTGATAAAGGGAAACCAGAACTTTGAGAAGTAACTCAGTATAAAAACCTACAGTTATCCTGCGGAGCTTGCTTGACCTTACATTGTGGGTTCAAGGCTTTGGAGGGCAAGTTGCAGAAATGAAAGCCCACATTCAGCTGGGAGTCAAAAAATTCTCCAGCACTAAGATATCACTTTAAAATTTTTCATCATAAACAGAAACTCTATCACCAGTAAGCAATAACTTCCCATTTCCATCCCTCCTTTGTAATAATTACTTAAACCTAATAATAAGTACAGACATAATAGCCATGCATATGAAAACAAGGTCCTAGTGGACTTCAGATATTAGAGTTGTCACACACAAACTGTGAAGTAAATATGTTTATTATCATATTTAAAGAAATATAAGTAAGCCTCAAATGTCTTTAGGGGGCCAGGAAGATTGCTCAGTGGCATAAATGCCTGCCTGGCAAGTACAAGATCCAAAGTTTGATCCCCAGTACTGCAAATAAAAATAAAAATAAATAAGTAAAAATGTCTTTAGGGAGTAAGAAGCAGCAGAAAATGCTCTTAAAAATTTGGAAAAACTAAATGGGACATAAAAAGTAAAATAACTAAAATTAAAAACAATGTGTGGAAAAGGGAGGGGGAAGGAGAGGGGAAGGAAGAGAAAAGGGAAAAGATAAAAATAAAGCTTTTTTAAGTGAGGAGGGGAAAAAGTTGAAGAGGGGGAGGGGAATGGAGAAACAGAATCAAATTATATTTACTGGATGGAATGTGATCAATATATGTGATAGATACCTGCTTGTAGGATCCAGCCTATGAGTTTTCTGTGTGAGGAGGAATGAAAAAGAGACACAGAATTAGGTTGTTATGGTTGATTCATTGTGTCAACTTGAGAAGTTTAGAAGCTTAGCTAAGAACTCAGCAGTACTACATCCTAGAGGACATGTCCTTGGGTGGATGTTTAGGCGCTACCATGTTATACTGGTTGATTCATTGTGTCAACTTGAGAAGTTTAGAAGTTTAAGTAGTGGGCCAGGGTCTTCACTTTGTAAACATCCTCATCCTCTGCAAGAAGAAGACAGGGAGATGGTGTGAGTGCTACATACACCGCCCTGGAAGTGTAGGGATGTTAGCCTACTTACCGTATAAGGGCGGAAAAGTGGCTTGCTCTCCCCCTTTTGCTCTTGTTTCTTTTTCTGTCTTCTGCCCCCTTGACTGTAGCCTCATGCCATGCCACCCTGCCTTAGAGCTGGCTGATTATGTACTGAAACCTCTATAAACTGTAAACGAAATAAACCTTTTCTTCCTTAATTTTGGGTGTTGGGTTTTTGTCTAAACAAGAGAAAAGTAAGACATAAGTTAACTATAGGGAGCCAGGGACTCTTGTCTCCCTTCAACTAGGGAGCCCCAAGAGTCTGGCTTACCCTGCCTTTATTCATGGACACAGGAACAAGCAATTGGAGTAACACAAGATTCATCTGCCTCCTACCATCCACAGTACTTGTCCAGGAGAACAACCAGATCTCAGCTGTGTTCTCCCAGAGCCTGCTTCATGTCAATATGCTTGTATGCAGCCTTTCTCCTTAGTGCTCACAGAAGAGGCCAGGTGGCCCGAATTCCTACTATCTGGTCTCGCACATGTACTAAAATAAAAAATACAAAGTTAAAAAAAAAAAAAAAAAAACAAAACCCTCAGTGTGTGACTTGTGCCCCAGAAACAGCTGAGAATGAGCCAAAAAGATGTCGAAAAGAAGAAATTTGGAGAATACAGCACAGAAACAATATTTAGTCTCTAGATGGAGAAAACAGAAAGGAAAGGTTAATAGTTTTGATCTCCTAAAAATTTTAAGCTCACTTTTGTAAAACAAAAGCCAAAAATCCCACAACTTTATGGATGTTTGTGATGACTCACGCCTGTAATCCCAGCCACTCTGGCAGCTGAGACAGATGGATCAAAAGTTTCAGACTAAAAAAAAAAATTTAAAAAAAAAAAGTTTCAGACTAGGGTCTGGGGAGATAGCTCAGTAGAATAAGTGCTTGCCTGGCAAGCGCAGGGTCCTGAGTTCAATCCCTGGTACTGGAAAAAAAAAAAAAAAAAAAAAAAAAAAGTTTCAGGCTAGTCTAGGGAACTTATCCAGTTCTGTCTCAGAAAAGAAGAGCCATGCCTATAGGCCCAGCACTCTTGGAGGCTGGGACAGGAGGATCACAAGTTCAGGTCCAGCATGGACAATTTATTTTTATTTTTATATTTTATTTCATTATTATTATTTATTTATTTTTTTATTTAGTACAGGGTCTCACTACACAGATTGGACTCGTAGTGATCCTCCTGTTTTCAGCCTCCCAAGCGCTGGGATTACAGACAGGCGACACCACACTCAGTCTCAGTCGCAGTCTTAGTGCACCCCGTGGGCGGACCCGGCACAGCATGCAAGGGTTGGAACTCCTGGTCCATGCGTCTGTCTAAGCAGGCACTTTAGTCCGCTGAGCTATTGGGCCAGCCCAAGCATGGACAATTTAGCAAGGCCCTGCTATTTAAAAAAGCAGTGCGGGGAGGGAAGCAAGAGCAATGTGAAGGTCCTAAATCCAATCCTCAATGCCAAAATAAATAAAATTTAAAAACAAAAATAAAAAGAGCTGGGGGTGTAACAGTGTCCCTGGGTTCAATGCCCAGTTCTACCATCTCCCCTCAAGAAGTGTTCCTGAGTTCAGTCCTCGGTACCACACACTCACAGAACAAAACTTTCACTCAAT